ACCCATGACAGCTGGCGTCTTGCCAGGCCCTTGAGGCTAGCCCCAAGTGGGTCAGCTGGGGGTCGGAAGCATAGCAGTTTGTCCCAATAGGTTTAGAAGCTACTAGAGCCTCCAGACTGTGCCCATCCTGGGGGAGGGCGGCAAAGGCTGGTGCCAAGACAGGGAACAGAATCCCAAGGGTTTCTCCATGGACCCAGGTCACTCAGCTTTGTCAAGACTTTATAGGACAGAAAAGTGCACACAGCAAGCCTTACCATTAGTGGTTGCCAGGGAAGAGGCCAGGAGGAAACTTGTGGCTATGATGTACCCATTCTGTCAGGCCTTTTACCACATGTAATTAGCTCTGTCCTGTCACCTGAAGAGGGAGCTGTTCTTCATTTGAAGGTGAAGCCACCAATGCATGAATGTGTGAGATGAAGTCCTTCCGGTTGCTAAGAAGTGGAGCTGGCACACAAACCCGGGTGGTGAGTGGCAGGACACAGGCTCAGATACTTGGTGTTAAGGGCAGTTGGGGCCAGAAGGGGGACAACAGCAACCTTAAGGTGTCCCCAGGGGAGCAGACTCACTGTGTGCATTAGTGGGCAGCAAGTAGAAGCCATTAACCATGGGGCCCAAAGCCATGGCTTGAGACCCAGAGGTTTGGAAAACTCCCACTGTCGTGTTCAAGAACATTCCAACAAAAGTTTGCTTAGGGGCCCAGAATAGCAAGCCGTAGCCAAAAAAGGATAATTATTCAGTTACATGAGAACTGAAAATTAGGGACTTAGAGCCAGAGCACGCTTCATAACTATTTTAAGTCCTCTAGTTATCTCTGTGTTCTTTTAGCAGAGGCATGTCCACCCTCCAAGGGGAATTCTTTTATCTCATCTGACTGATAGAACACGCACAATAGTTACTGAAAGCCTCAGCTGTCACTTCAACACAAACAAATGGGATGCAGCAGGCAGCCAGCCCCACCCCACAGATATTTTTAGACATAGGTGGCTTCCATCTAGAAGGCTAAAGTATCAGGGAGAGAGAGTCCAGGTCCCAGAATAGCAAGGCCACACACTCAGCCCCGTGTAGCCTTAGTGTGCAGGCTGTGGTAGGTTGACTTCCAGCATCAGGGACTCCTAACTGTTCTGGTTAGCTGAGAAAGACATGGCACCTCCTACCAGAGACATCCCAGGGCTAGAGGCCTTTGTTCCGGGTGATTTGTCACCAAAACTATCTCTGGATTTGGGTGAACGAGGACAGTCTACTGGTGCCCAGCTGACCAACATCAGCTCCAAGTGTGGCCTTTGACTTTAAACAGGATATAATTAATACTCGCGGTGTTTGAAGTCTTTTGTGATGAGATCCAGGCTGTCCTGACTTCCCATAGCTTTCTCCTCTGTGTCCTCTAACTGAACCATGAGGCCTCTGCCTGCCCAGTGTCAGTGGGCAGTAGGGATAGACCACTCCCTCTCTCCCCATGTCTCGTCAATCAGGCTCTGATGTGAGCTGGACAGGGTGGCTCATGACCCAGAAGGGGATGGCTTACTGGCCAGTCCGTTTAGAGGTCACATGACACGCCAGGACTCGGCAAGCCCCCACCACGAGGGTTGCTTTCACCAACCAAGCCTCTTAGATATGTAGAGGGTCTCCTCAGGGTTGGTTTATGACCTTCGCTCCATTGATACACTTGCTAGATTAAAATACGGAAAGCTGTTTTTTATTTCTTTGCCACCATTTTTGTTTAGATCCAGCATCTTCCTTGGTCCTTGGTATATCTCTTGATTGAAGAACTTTCTTTAACCTTCCTTGAGGCACACATGGGTCTGCAACTCTCTCCACTTCTCTCAGCTGCTTTTGTTGTTTTAAAAGAAAAAATCCTGCAAAGGGGGTTATGGGGGGGCAGCCTTAATCCCAGCACTCCAGAGGCAGGTGGAACTCTGAGTTTGAGGTCAGGAGACCAGGCTGGTCTACAGAACTACTTCCAGGACAGGCTCCAAAGCTACACAGAGAAACCCTGTCTCAAAAGACAACAAACAAGCCAAAAAAAAAAAAAAAAAAAAAAAAAAAAATCCTTATCTTATCTGGATATTTGAAGGAGGTATTTGTTGAGTATTGGCTTCTGAGGTACCAGCAGCATGACTTCCTCTGCCCAGGGGGTCTCTGACTTGCCTGTCCTGGGAGGGGGAAGTCAGCACTAATTACTATGGGCAGTCCTAACCCTCTGTGCCACCCCCCTGAGACTCTTTCTCAGGCTTTTGGGCTTTGGTGTGTGTTTGATAGTCTCTGTGTATTTGTTGTGGAATAATCCTTTTGTACGCTGTGAAAATGTGTTGCTCTCATTGTTAATAAACAGCTAGTTGGCCGGTGGCTAGTTAGGATTTTCAGGGCAGAGAGCATGCTGGGAAGAAGGGCAGAGTCTGGGGAGTCTCCAGCCAGACCCAGAAGAAGCAACATGGGAAGTTCATAGATGAAGTAAATGAGCCTCGGGGCAGCAGGTAGATTAATAGAAGTGGCTTAACTTGAGTTGTAAGAGCTGGCTGGAGACAAGCCTAAGCCATTGGCAGAGTCGAACTATGACACTTGCACACCATAACTGGGAACAGCAGAGGGTCACCTTATATATTCTCTCTCTTGGTCTGTCTGTCTATCTATCTGTCTATCTATCTATCTATCTCTTGCTCACTCTCTCAAGATATCTCTCTCTCTCTCTCTCTCGTGTGTGTGTGTGTGTGTGTGTGTGTGTGTGTGTGTGTGTGTAAAAGAGAGAGAATCTGTGCTTAGTAGAGGCATGTAAACATGTGGGTACAGGCATTACACATGAAGGCCAGAAGTCAATATCAAGTGTTTTCCTTTCTCCCTCCACTTCATTTTTTGAGACGAGATCTCTCCCTGAACTTGGGGATTGCAGTTTCAGCTACACTGGCTGGCCCACTGGGCCCCCAGGGTCTGCCTGCCTACCCCCTCCCTCACACGTGCAGTGCTGGATTGCAGGCTCTCACTGCTTCTACATGAGTACTGGAGATCCGAACTCATGTCCTCATGCTTTCCCAGCAGGGCTTTACCTACTGAGCCGCCTCCCCAGCTCCAGCCCACCTTACTTTCCTTTCCATTGCCATGTTGGGAATGACTGAGGGTCTTCTCTGCCAGTGAGCCAGGCCCCTAGCCAGATTCACAGTCCGGAGCTGCCATTTCAGTTTGCTCACGTTTGCAGTAAAGAGCATGGTCTCCCCAGGCATGGGTCTCGTGAGAGGTGACTGCATTTAGGGGGCACCATGTAGACTCAGATGACACTCATTCCAGCCTCTGGCCTCCTGTTGCATGCTCAGTCACACGTGCCCACGTTACAGGCCATCCTCAGGCCTGCTTGCCCTGTGCCATTTTCCTCATCTGCACATCTGAGATTTAATGACAGCCCTGATGGCCACCTGTTCCAGCCTGCCAGTCCCGCACCTGCACCATGCATGTGCAGAAGCAGAGGGAGCTTGCTTACCCGAGAGGGGTTTGGAAATACCCACAGGGCTGGATCTCATTAAAAACCAATGCAAGCCGGTGGTGGTGGTGGTGGTGGCGCACGCCTTTAATCCCAGCATTTGGGAGGCAGAGGCAGGCAGATCTCTGTGAGTTCCAGGCCAGCACGGTCTACAGAGCTAGTCCCAAGATAGGCTCAAAAGCTACAGAGAAACCCTGTTTCGAAAAATAACCAAAGAAGAAGAAGAAAGAACTTTGTGGCTTGTGACCCATTGTGGCCATTGTGCTTTCCAAACTCCCCAGCAAGTGAGATTTGGACCCAGACAAGGAAAGTCCAAACACTCGGCCAGATCTAGGCCCTGAAGCCAGGTGTTGAGAGTAGAGAAGTAGTCAGCATATAGAACCCATGTCCTTACCCTCCTATACAGCTCCAATCCCTCTTCTGTAAGGTCTTGAGTCCCAGAACACTCCAGAGTAAATGAGGTCACCTGCAGAGCCTGCGGGCCCCATATCTGCAACACGGGAGCATCCAGGGGATGATGGCAACCACAGCTGTTGCCATTAGGATGTTTACAAAGATCCAGTAAGGCCATCCGTTCCTTAGGACAGCCACAGACCGCAAGCCCTCGCAAAGACCTTTCTTCTTATGTCATCTATCCAGAAGAGCCTGGGGAGTGTGAGCTGGGGAAGGAGATCCCTCCACTCCAAGAGGATATTTGATTCCCACGGTCTAGCCTGGAAGGTGACTCCAGAGGGCGCCAAGGACAGGATTCACTTGGGGGATGGTTCCTTCTGCTTCATTTAATGAGTCCATGACCACAAGCTGTTCAGGGCCAGCCTTCACTGACTCTCCCTAAGGAGCTTTGCCTCCCTCTACCGTGGTGACAGGGGGAGTCTTAAGACACCCACAGGGGCCTAGAATGAGATAGCTTATTGTGGGCTTCGGGGTTCCAGTGTTTCTGGCAGAAGTAAATCCCCGTGGCCTTCTTCAGTTCCCAGAACCCACATTGTGGGGAGAGAGCCAATTCCTGCAAGTCACCCTCTGGCATCCATGTATCATATACAGATCGTCTCTCTCTCACACACTCATTCACTGAATGAATGAATGAATGAATGAATGAATGAATGAATGAATGTGAAAGCAGTCAGAGGACTTTGCCTAAGCCAGCAGGTCTCCCTCAGATCCTTGCCCACAGCCTCTTCTTCCCTACTGATGGGCCACTGACATAAGCCGGTAGGTGACCAGCTTAGTGCGGTGACCTTTGGTAGGCTGACAACGGGAATGTAATGGGTGAAAGGCCTGTAGTCTTGTCCTCAGTCTCTTGGCCTAGGGCTATAGCAGGCACTTGGCACCTCAACATCTAATAGTTGGGCTCATAGTCTACTGGTAAAGGACATCTAGGAGTAGCCAAGAACTATCTAGATCCTTAACTGCTAGACCCAGGACTCTGCCTTGGGGCCTGGGCTTCTGGGAGGAGGGAAAGGACTGCTTGCCACTGGCTACACAAGGCTGAGTGCCAGCAGGGTCCTCTGACAGCCTCCTTTTGTACCCACAGGAGCTACGGGAAGCTCACCTACTGTACCAAGCACTTGGCAAACAAGATTGGCTGTTTCTGGCCCAATCCAGAAGTGGACAAATTCTTCATCGCTGTCCACCATCACTACTTCAGCAAGTGCCCGGTCTCTGGCAGAGCGCTGCGGGACCCTCCCAACAGCGTCCTCTGCCCTTTCATCATGCTCCCCATCACAGTCACGCTGCTCATGACCGCACTGGTGGTCTGGAGGAGCAAGCGCACAGAGGGCATCGTGTAGGTGTCCCGGGTGATGGGGAATTGGGGCATCATGGGCCTGGCCCAGCAACAGCATCAGGATGACGGCAAGGCAGGCCCCACATTGCACTCTGCTATCTAACCTAGTTAGCACAGGACTTCCGAGTGGCTCTGCATTAAGCTGAACGTGCTCTAGGTGGAGGTCTCTAGAAGGGAGCAGGGGGGTATGCCCCTACTTCCCTCTGAAGGAGTTCTAAGTGCCAGATCTCTGGTTTATGCCTCACTACTGGGGACTTTCTTGACCTCCAGGCAAGACTGCATAGACATGTTTGTGGATGCGTAGTTTGTGATTAAAAGAGTATTCTTAAACTTGGGAAGTGTTCTAAATTCTGGGTAGAAAGAACCTATACAGGGAGGCAAAGAATGGGAGAAAAATCAAATCACCTCTGCAGGTCTGTCTTTTGCAGACGAGGGTTTATCTCGGAGCTCTGACTGGATGACTCAGTCTAAGGTCTCCTGTGTGTGCTCAGGGCTTCTCGTCGGGTGTTTCTGATGCCTTTGGCCTCTACTACACAGTCCCTGATTTCTTCTTTCCTTCCCCCCACCCCTGAGACAGGGTTTCTCCGTGTAGCTTTAGCGGTCGTGGAACTTGCTCTGTAGACCATGCTGGCCTCGAACTCACAGAGATCCTCCTGTCTCTGCCTCCCGAGTGCTGGGAATAAAGGTGTGCACCACCATCACCTGGCACAGCCCCTGCTTTAAGTCCTTGGAAATAATCATATACATTCAACGCTATCAAGAACACCTAATATGCCAGGCAGTGGTGGCCCACACCTGTGATCCCAGGCAGAGGGCAGAGGGCAGAGGGCAGAGGCAGAGGCAGAGGCTCTGATCTCCGTGAGTTCAAGGCAGTCTGGTCTACAGTGTGAGTGCCAGGAGAGGTTCCAAAGCTACACAGAGAAACCCTGTCTCAAAAAACAAACAAACAAAAAGAACACCTAATATGAGCCAGATCTAAGGGCCCTTTGATCATACTACTTCCCTAAGAAAGCCCCAATACACAGGACAAGCGAAGGCCAAGAGGTACCAGGGATGTGACTTCCTCCTCTACTCATCACAGCGATAACATTAATTTGAGGATGGAGCTATGGCAGTGCATGTCTGGAATTGAAAAGCACTTGGGGGGCTGAGATAGGATTGCTGTGAGTTTGGAGCTAGCCTGGGCTACGTAGGAACACCCTGTTTAAAAACAAAAAACAAACTGAGGGAGAAGGGGAAGAAGAGAGAAGAAAGGGAGGGACAAAGAAAAATAAAATAAGATTGGACTCATTTGCCTGAACTGGAGACCAGCCTGCCTTCCAGGGCTTTGACAAGGACATCCACAAAGTGGGGGAAAACCAAGACTTTCTTAAGTCACAGAATCCCGTAGCAGCGAGACAACTGGGGACCTTGGCTCGGGAAATGGAGCTGGCCCAGTGTGTTATCCCCTGAGCTGCCTGTGTTAACGAGCTCTCAGGGTTTCCGGTAAACCAAGAAGGCAGGAGACTGAGGTCATCCTGAAAGCCGGGCCGTCCATCTGAATGTGCTCAGCTAAGCAGTGGGCAGGCCGGAGCCCGAGACCCCTCGCCTATCAGCCTGCTAGGGAAGCCTGGTCCACCGGGAGTGGATCATGACCCATTCATCAAAAAAGAGCACTAGAGGTGCCCTCCTGAAGACAAGTCAGAGTGTGGGCCAGAAGTCTTTAGTGTTTGTTCTCAGTGATTTCTCTTCTAGGAACTCATCCCAAATACGTAATTAGACGTGCAAAATGGCCCATAGGGACTGTGAGCGGAAGAGACACCCTCAGCGGCCTGACAGACGACCGCTCCATCAGATTAACTCCAGATGACAGAAGGCAACTCGGTTTCCTTAAATGACATACAGGGGGGTGTGCTTCATAGAACATGGAGTTCAGTGAAAAGGGCAGACTTTAAAACAGGAAATCAAGGTGACCTCTATGTTGTGCTTGTTTACACATACAGTCCCTATCCCCAGGCTACATTATACTGGGGGAAGTCATGTAATAGGCATTCCAGAAGACAGAACAACACAACCAGTAATGCATCTGGCTGCTACCATCCCAGTTGCTGGATGCCGTTCCCTGGTGAAGGCTGACAGAGTCCAACCTGAACAGCCTGTTCTAGCTGCGTGTCCTTGAGCAACTAACTCATCTCTGGTAGCCATGTGGAAGATGACTTGGAGTATGTGAGCCGTCTGCCCTTTCCCGGTGATGGTGTTTGATATCCTGAAAGACCAAGTAGCCAGTCAGAGGAGCCCTTAGGGCCAGACAGGAACAGTAATGCCTGAGGGGAGACAGAGCTAAGCGCAGGGAAGCGGTGAAACACATTTTTAAAAAGATTTCAACAGCCGGGCATCGATGGCGTACGCCTTTAATCCCAGCATTAGGGAGGCAGAGGCAGGAGGATCTCTGTGAGTTCAAGGCCAGCCTGGTCTACAGAGCGAGTTCCAGGACAGGCTCCAAAGCTACACAGAGAAACCCTGTCTTGAAAAAAAAAATTTCAAAATTTATAAGCACTTTTCCTGTACATATGTATGTGCACCACGCACATTGCCTGATGCCTTCGGAGGTCAGAAGTAGGTGTCAGAACCCCTGGAGGTTACAGATGGCTGTGAGCTGCCATGTGTGTGCTGGGAATGGAATCTGGGTTTTCTGGCAGAGTGGTAAGCGTTTAACTGAGCCATCTCTCCTGCCCTGAGATGCTTTTCTCTGTGGTTCACCTCCGTGGTGAGCTAGAAGACCTACAGCACAGCGCTTTTCAAGGCTGTTCAGAAGAGCAAATTCCTTATGGGACTAAGCCAAGACAGGCTATGGGGCTGCCTACTTTACTCTGTCTATCCATGAATGTCAGAGATAGAAAGTCCCTGAGAGAGGCAATTTACAAAATGATCCCTCTTCTTGAACCCACCCCAGCCACACTTCCTGTCTACATACCGTGCAGGAATTTCTCCAACATTCTGGCAAGAGGCTGGGGAAACTTGTTTTCTGGTCACTCCTGGTGTTAGGGCAGGAAGTGGGCAGAGGTCCCTGGAGGGCAAGGGCAGGTGACAACTTCTGCTCGGCACAGGCTGCCATGACAGCATCTGCACCCTGCACAGGCCCACCCCATCCAAGGCACAGAGAGATGCAGTCAGGCTTTCATTTTGATATCTTCTTTTAGGGAGTTCCAATTTCCAAAGGAAGACAGAAGGTGGCTCAGTGGCTCAAGTGCCATGTGAGCATGGCAGAGGGGGAATTAAGAAAGTCCATGAACGCCCAAATGAAAGAATGACAAGTATTTATTTGGGGAACACTCACACAATGAAGGTAAAGAGCTGCCCCAGTCTTCTGCCCCTGGAGGTCCAGGATGCTTCAATGCAGGTCTCAGACCACCACCCAGGAGAGAGGGGCAGAGATTGCTCTCTGTCCACACATAGCACCAGAGCTTCCGCCCCTTGAAGGGGCCAGTACCTCAAAGACTATTGGCTGAATGAGTCCCCACAACACATGGGGACCTAGGTTCAATTCCCAGAACCCATGATAAAAAAAAAAAAAAAAGCAAACAGGCCCAGTGGTACCACTTGTAATCCCAGTGCTGAGAAGCTAAGAAGGCAGACAAGTGACTCTCTTGGGGCCACTGACCAGTGAGCCAACCCAGACCAATGAGATTTCCATATGCATATCTATGTGCCCCATACACAAATGCAATTTGCCATGTACAGTGATGATAGCAAACTGCCTGGGTCAAATCAGATGGCAGCTCCACCAACGGAGAAGCAAACTAATCAAATCAGATGGCAGCTCTACCAAACGGGGAGGGGGGCAAGGCAGTGGCTCCCCGCCCTTCCGTTTCCTACCTACCAAGGAATGATGTGGGCCTTAGACAGCTCACTATTTGCAAAGAAAGCCCTTGACATGCCCCAGCATGTCACAAGTGGTCATTTCACTTTGGCCATGGTCACTCATCTTTGCACAGGGACCTGTGACCTGACTACTGCACGTGTGTGACTGTCCCCGCTGGGTGTACCTTTCTACCTCTCAACATGTCACTTTCTGTCACCCAGAAGCTAGAAGGAATCCTTACTGGTGCTAACTAGTACCTTGGAGGGCTTTCCTCGTTCCCGTTTGCCTCAAACAGACCTGTAACAGTCCCTTGGGGTGCACAGTCCCCTGCTTTCCGGGAAGCTGTTCTCCGAGGTGTCAGCAGACTTGGCTCCTCCCAGGGGCTTGCAGATTCCAGTCACTGGGACAGGCCCACCCAACAACCTCACCTGCCCATAACTACCTCTTTAAAGGCCCTCTCTTAAAACAGGGATCTGTGGTCTTGGGGCATAGGACCTCAACATATGAATTTGGGTGTCTGTTGGAGGGACAACTTGCCCATGACAAAACCCTGTCTCCCTGCTGCCAGCTGGCTCCCTGCAGCTGGTTATGTTATGGGCCCATGTTGCAAATCTCCATGAAAACTAGTGGAAAACAACTTTGGCCAGAAGAGCTGGAGACATCGCAAGAGAGAACAGAAACCTGCTTCTCATCAACGCCCATCAGCTCACATTCTTGTTGGGAAATTTGAGGCTCAATTAGGAAGGCGGGTGGTGGGGAGGGTCTCCGGGGAGACTCCCTGGAAAATTCCAGAGCCCGAGTTCCTGGCTTTCATTTTGTCTCATTTTCAGAAAATAGGCGGGGCTTTCTCCCCCAATGACACATTCCAGACCAGATAACCATTCTTGTTCCTGAGCAGATAATGTTTCTCCCCACCACCTAGATAAGAAAGATGAGGGGCAGAGGGAAGAAAAAAGAAAATTTGCCAGGTGGTGTTGATGTACACCTTTAATCCCAGCATTCAGGAGGCAGAGCAGGTTGATCTCTGAGTTCGAAGCCAGCCTGGTCTACAGAATGAATTCCAGGACAGCCGGAACTACACAGAGAAACCCCGTCTGGAAAAAAAAAAAAAAAAAAAAAAAAAAAAAAACTCAAGAGAAAAGAAAATGTTTGTGTTTTCTTAACAGCAGGGTGGGAGTAGAGAATGTTCAGGAACATGGAGGA